AATATATATATTTATTACAAATATTTACGTACTTATAACAACATTTAGGCTCTAACTGAATTTTCTCTTCTCGATAAGTTAATTAATATGTCTCGATTCTCTCTCTGTTAATTGTGCGTCTATTATGGCAAATTTAATTTTGCCAGCGATGATAATAGAAACTAAAGAAAAACATTAATGCCACCTGCGTCCGGAAAAATATTTACCTGATGTTTGCGTATTCTCAACGCACTGATATTTTCACGCGTAATGATAAAAAAATCGCATGTAAAAAAATGTTAATGTTGCGATCATTTCTCGGCTGTATTTTCAATGCGGTGATTTTTCGCAGGCATCACAATTTGCACGAAAATTTATGGAAAAGAGCGAATAATCGTGAAACGCGCACGAATTTCACGGAACCGCGACCGAGGATTTTCGAGTTGCACCCCCTCCCCCTACCCCTCCCGGACTTCCCGCCTTTACCTATGTAACGGACAGCTCGAAACGGAACAGATTGCTCTTATCAAGCAAGCTCTCGCGCGCTACATCGATCACCGATATAATGCGTGTCGATGTTTTTTTTTTTTTTCTTTTTCGAGTTTCGACTCGACTAGTCTCTCCGATCGAGAAGAACCGGGATTTTCCCGTGTTTTTCCGCGCAATTCGCCCAGCAATCCTGGAACACGCAATCCGAATCCGTTACACGTCCTTCGCGCTGCCAATTAATCCACGTGCATTTCGTCCTAATGAAAAGTTGATAAGAGAAAAGAAAAAAGAAAGATTTAGAAATAGTGTACTTCTTACAACTTATCTATAAATAGTGTGCTTTACAACTTTTAAGAGCACACAAAGTTCAAAATGACAAGATATTTTTTAACACACACACACACACACACATAAATTAAGATTCCTTGACAAAAAGAAAAGTAGCTATATAATTAAATTTTTATTATATTTATAAATTTAATACGTGTTTCAATGAAAATATTATAATTAAGATAATGCCTTTACTTTTTAGTAGAACAAAGGGGAAGGAGGGGAGGGAGAGTGAGAAAGTTGACGAAGGAAAGATTTGAAAAGAAAATTACCACAACCAATTACCCTTATTTTCTACACAGTCTATAGTCTCTATGTATCTAGCACAGCGAAGATAGACATGCACCCCGTACTGTCATCGATTAATGAGATCGGGTGTGCTTCGAGGAAAATTTTTATTAAAGATATCTATTCATTGTATAAAACCTAGTGTTGAGAAATGCAATAAACATTAAGAGATAATGCGAATGAAGCATCCTCTCCATTCACCAGCTTTAAATCAGATTTAAGATTTAATTTCTATTATTATTATTTTTTCTTTTTTTGAAATTTTGAGAGAGAGAGAGAGAGAGAATGTCTACAAAATATATTATTTAAAGAAAGATGTTTGTCTTTTAAAAAAAGTCAATTTTAATTTTTTTTTTTCTCTACGCGACGTTGTCACGAGAATTTAACGATTACACGAAGAAAAAAAATCGTACGAAGAAAAATACTGAAAGAGTGATTACAATGGTATACATATATCTGGCCTTCCTCGGCCATTTAAGATTTTTCGCTGTCGACGAATCGCGAGATAACGACGCGATTACGCGAGTTTACATGCGGACTATTTCGCAAATGAGATCTAAGTATATAAGAAGTCGGGGGATAAATTATATGGTAGGATATGGCGGTCTTTCGTGAATATTGCATCCTTTTGCCCTTCTTCGCTCCCTTATCATCATGTGTAATTACGCAATTGTATTTACATACGTGCGTCCCGCCGTCATTATCGCCCCGGCGAGATCTTTATTTTGCATTCGAGCACTCATTTTCGCGCACTCGTTAAGAAACAATCGGCCATGGCACGAAAACCGGAGAAATACGAATTTCTAATGTATATCGTAACGCGTGCGACTTAATTATTGTTGACTGCAATGAGAAAAAAATATAATAAAGGAGCGAAAGCGCTTCTGTCTATGAAACAAACCCGGGAAAAATGCAAGATGACCCAGAATTACCGAGTGGTCTTTCATGCATTCTACAGGATACAAAAAGTCAATTTTTAATTTTAAGACAAGTTTCAAATATGTAAATATATAATTTGGAAATACATATTAAAGTTTCGAAGAAAATATTGAGAGTAAAATAAAAATAATTTTAACTTTCTTTTTAATTTTTTTTTCGCAAATTGAGGATTTTTAAAAAATCTTTAATGCATATAGTTTTCATGAAAAATTCTCAGGAAATAATAAAAATTGACGAGTTAATAAAAATTTAATTTGGAGCTTAATGTTTTCACCGAGACGTCGATATGAATTTAATTAAAAATTCTCGACCAGATGATTTTGTCGTGAAATTTTCGTGGAAAGATCGGTAGAAAAAAATCTTCGTCGTTTCGGAGGACCAGATGAGCAGCAAAATAATGATTTTTGTTCGCGAAAAGACGCGCAATATAAAAATTCTCGTTTCTAAAAAAAAAAAAAAAACTAATATATACTGGATATACTATTACGGTATAAACTCGTTGCCCTCATTTTTTATTGCAGGCAATCGCATGTAGATCGTCGAGAAATGAAATGAAAACTCAGATCCGGAACGGATTCTGTTGAACCGAATGAAAATCGATAGTCCAAAATGGATTATTAAATGTGATTTAAAAAATGCTTCGATTCTCGAAACGAGCTGTCAAATATACTGCGAATATTATTAACTTTCGGAATGGATTATTAAAATGCAGTAAAATCGCCGCGATCAAGACTATCGGATAAAATGAAAAAAAAATCGATTGTTAAATTCCATAAAAACTACCGAAAAAGCAAGGATCGTTAAACACTAGCGTGGGCATTATTGACTCAAAGCAAATTATCGGATGCAATATAATAAAAAGATCTAAAACGGATTGTCGATGAAAATTATATACAGATAGATATCTTTAGTGTATTCCCCGTTTCTTCTCCAAAAAATCTATACTTTCTTTTTTTTTTGTAACACACATTTTATATTATTTTTAAATATATGAGGCTGTCAAATCTCGCATAAATAAACTTAATAAATTATATGCAAATTAAAATATCAATATCTTCTATTTATATTTTAATATGAAGGAATGCACTTATTACTTAAATGAATGAGTGCAAGCGTTGATAATTTTAAATGCGAGCATAATGAATAATTTAAAATTACTAATGCCAAGTGGATATTCGACATAATTAATGATTCAACTATTTCACAAAGCAAACCGCGACATTGTAAAAGATGTATATTATAAATAAGATCATCTCGTGTGTTATTTATTCGTGTAATTAATATCTTTTCGGATGTAATACAACATTTTTGCGTTACAGCTTTACGCGGTTACCGAACCGCGTCGATTAGTGACAATTTTTCTTCCCATTTTTCTCCCCCCTTGCCTCGAAAAGGCGGGGATATAAACGAGGATTGCCTATTCTGTTCTTGCTCCTCGCATGTCCCTTTCCGTTTCCGCTTCCGGTATATCCGTGCGCGATTGTTAATATACCGAGCCGTTTTATCAATTCACGGGAATTGTCACTGCCCGCTTCGTCCGCGTTTGTATGCGCTTTTATAATCCCTACATATATCCTGTGATCTCTCGCTGTAACGATGAAATGAATCTTTAAACATTGTACGCTCGCGCGAGTATTGACCCGCGAAAATTATAGTATTTGCACAGCAATTTGCAAAATTATTAGTAATAACAAAAGAAATCACGAAATTAATATTTATAAAATATATGTATATAAATATACATATGTATAATGCAAATAAAATTGATCTTGGGATTATTTTTTATCTGCAATATAATATAATATAAACAAACCAATAAAAGAATAAGCCACGCTATATATCACGAAATTATCACGCTTATCATAAGTCATAAATACGATTTGGTTTAATTACTCGAAAAATTTGCGAAATTGCAACCATCTCGCAAAAACTAACTTTCGAGGTACCGTGTATGTTTGTAAATTAACGCATTATAATCGCAAATTCTACAGAGTGTACCTGCTAATGTACATTTGCTCAAACGATAACCGGAATGGGATTTGTTATTTTTCCACCGGTATAGCGAGCGATGTTCATTTTCGCTGCCAGCAATCAAGTACTCTCATTAATAAAGCATTTAGGGGCATAAATTAATTATCGTTTCTCTACGTGCTTCCTGCTACCTCTCACTCCATTTTCCCGTTTCTATTGCCTCTCCCCGCGGAATACGATTTTATTCGTCCTGTCCGTGCCGACAACTCGCTCGATTATCTCCGAAAATCGATCGCTCCATTTTCGTTTTCAAAATCGATAGTTTCTCCTTTTCCCGAGAACGATGTCGCTCTATCATTTTGATTATTTTCGCGATCCCTTTTTCTATCTAGCAATCGAATTATCTCGAGCAAAACGATTCCCAAAACGACCTTTCTCTCTCAATGAACGCTAATTTTCGTAGCCAGCCTGGAAAATCCGCGGTAAATCGAGAAGCGTGATAAAGAAGCGACCAGGCGAGAAATTAATTGAGTACGAAATGGACGCACGAACGTGTTAAGTGGCAAATTAAAAGGATTTCTCTGCCGATGAGAGAAATATATTATTATACGAGAGATACGTCAATAACTAATTAAGGATTATAGGATTCAAATCAATTTAAAGCTTTGCGCGGAGGACAAATAAAGAATTGCGATAAATGGATAAAGAAAAAATTATAACTGACCAATACTTTTAATTTATTTAACATGGTATTAAAAAAGTGGCTTGTCGATTTTGAATTTGAAAATCAATCTATGTAGGAAATAGATTATATATGCTTCTCTCTCGATATGACATATCTTTAAGACGTGCAAACTTATGATTCATCCTTAACATTAAATTGATAAGAGATTGCGACTCATATATAAATAGATAGATAAAAAACAAAGAATCTTTTTTTTATCATTTTTTCCTAAAAAAAATATATATTCCTTGAATTGAAATTTTTAATTTCCTGCTTTCAGAAAACATCATCCACTGCTCGGGAGCAAGAGACACAAATCGGCTGGTATGTCAAATAATCAGCTGGTTGACTCCTGTCTGTAAGTGTCTTTCTCTATGTTAAGTAAACTGATGGTAGATCGCGACAAATTTTTCACACGCTTCCTCGATAAAAGATTAATGTTATCGTATATCATATCTCATCTCATAGTGTTGTCCGATCCATAAAGGCATTCATCGATCGCAATAATTTTCTCCACAACTATCATATTTTTAAAAAATTCGGGTACTTTATGCTCTATCTCTCTCTCTCTCTAAATCTCTTAGATAATTTGTTCCTCATTTTACTGTAAATTTCGCGTAATTCGCAGAGTATTTTCTACAGTAAACTCCAATTTTACCCTCTGACGACTTTGACGTCAACTTTCCTTTGCGATAATTCAGACATAATTACGAAGTTGCTTAACATGGGAGATTAAAAAGCTTTTGGCGCAATAAGCTTCGAGACTAGAGAAAATAAAGCCTCATTCTCCATGGATTTCCGGTAAAACTTTAACAGAATCTTAATTCGAAAGACTCTCTTAACGGAAATATTTAATGCTGAAAATTGAAAAGTTTCGATTACGATGACGTGTCGAAAAAGACAGTTACAATGACATTAAATCGCAAGTGACGATAAGAACGAATCAGTTTTATTAATTGTGCGACTAATCAACATTAGGCTGGTGAATCGCCGGATCGAGCAGAGACAGGAGCACAACATAACTCGCACTGAGATCACGCAGAGGTGACTAACATGCATTAATCACGCGGTTACTCATGCTGAAACTGAGCGTACGATTAATTTCATCAGATTAATTACTATAAAATAAATTTTCCCAAATTGATTTATTCCACGTAAATGTAGATTATAATTTACACATTACATGTATCACGTACAAATGTATAATTTTGTTAAATTAATTCTCACATAATAAAAATTTTCTATGAAATTTTCAATTTCATGATGATGAAACTGTTAATATATTATCACTGATGATCATTCCGCAACGTGCAATAATGCGATTTTATCGCGTGCATAAACCGTTACGGACAACGCGTTCTAAATTGCGGTCCTAATTAGTACTAATTGACTCAACATTGTCGTGTAATTTCTAATAACCCACTAAAACCATAAGACGTAACGTGACGCTTTCAGAGTGAGTAACTTCGCCATCATCATCGACGCATGTTTGCACAGTCATTAGCATGCCGGGATGACGCGACAGCGAGAAGGATGCTTAGTGCAATTAGTAGCATTCTCCTCGAGATCATTATCGCGCCTAGTTGATATATGTGTCGTTTTGTTTCGCTTTGTATAATTTGCTTTTTGCTATGTATCAATCACGAAATGTCCCTCCTATATGCTTGTTATTTTTCCATCATTATATTACTTCCGTGTAGTTTATGTATAATTTAGAATCGATTTTTCCTTAACGAGAAATCTCAAGAAGTCTCAAGAAGTCTCAATAGTTTTGAAAAGAGAATAAGCATAGAAAAAAATTTTTATTCTTCATACATTTAATTAAAATTAATATTTATTTAGAAGGAATTTTAAAAAAGTGATTTTTTTTTCGTTAACGAAAAATCAATCTCGAATCGATCAAAGAATTATGATTGTAAAATTCCATGTTTCGTTCAACCTGTATATATCGCGTGTGCTGTTTTAATATCACTAGTTTTTATTTCAGATATTAATAAAATATTGCTATATGAAATATTGCCACTATTGTTTTAGAAAATAATATCCCCTGTGTAAAATTTGTGCAGCTTTGTGTAGTGTGTACTCGGTAAAATATCTTTTTTTTTATGAAAGTATTTTTTTAATCTATATATAGCTATATTTTTAAGTCATGGATACTCGTTTTCAGACGCGTCCTACAGGAGAAAGCCCCCGACATGCCACAATACACGTAAGCATTCTACTCTGACCATAGTAATTTTCGATATCATGCAACGTTATGTACGCACTTCCGTCGATCCCTCATTTCTCTGATTTGTCTTCCGTAGCGGACAGGGCGACACGGATTACCATGGGAGTAACGGACAGGCGGACACCCACTCGTTGCACTCGTCTCATCTGTCCGTCCAGGAAGATCCGCTGCTCATTCGGACTCATAAGCAACAAACCTCTCAGCAAGTAAGATCGAATATCATTAAAAAAATTTTTTACGCAAATCGTGATTAAATTTGCATGTATTTTCAAAGATGCTTGAATCGCTTGTGTCGAGTTATACGCGAGTAATTTTTTTTTTTTATATTTAGACTTGTACATTTTTTTAATTATATTTAATTCAATGACCAATATATATCCGTTTTTAAAAAAATATACATTAATAAAGGCGGATTTATATTCGATTAATTTTATTCATGTATATCGATACGCGCGATACGAAAGCGGATAGGTATACACGGTGCGCTTTTCGTCCGGAAAAAATCCCGTTGAATAGAGGAGAGATTATATGACACGATGCGCTTCCTCAGGTGACGACTGTGACGAAAGTCGTGCGCGAAGTTTCCCACATGGAGCCGGATCCGGGCGCGGTCAGTTACATGTCGGTGCCGTTAATGTCGCAAGACTATCAGCACGCGGACCCGCGCTACCCCGCGGACCCGTACATGGTCAGTTTCGATCATTACGACCCGTACCTGGGCTATCCGCCGCAGCCAGGTTATCCGGGGCCCCATGGTATCTACATGCCGCGCTCGCATTCCCCGCACAGCCCTCATAGCCCGTCGGAGCACAGCCGTGCTTCCCCGCCACACGGTATGTAACCGCAAATCCATATACATATTTACTTCGTAAATCCATTCTTGCTGCCATTTTCCTCCCCTCTTCAGATATCGTACAATGTTAAGCGTAATTATATGCTCTTTTATGAGTTTATTTATAAGGAGAATAAGCAATCAAGCTTTCTTTTTTTTAAATTTGTTGATGTCGATGAATATTCATAAGTTGATTTCAAATACAGAATATTCAGAATATTTATTTAAATAGTGTTTTGTTTAAAAATAAAATATTACTAAAAAATTTTTTTTCCATACGAGAATAATAACAAAGAGAAAAAGAAATATTTATTTAAAGTTCAGTGGTTACAATTATTAATTGAAACAATAATTTTTAAAGAGATATCAGAAATTTTTATTTTAAATGTATGTGATAATTCTTGTATATTATTTCAAATATATTACAATATTTTTATATTTTTATATAATAATCGTCTCATGCCAATTTGCAAAAATAATTAACTTAATTTAATGAAAGAGAAACAAAAACAAATCAAAGAAATAAATATATGTAAAAAAAATAAAAATTTGTAAAAATAAGACTTTTTCAATATTCTTATAATGGGAGAAATAATTACTCGCAATCGGTGATTTTTATATAATAAATATTCAACGACAAATACATATTTGAGATATTTATTTAATTCTAAATATTAATTTTAAATATTAATTTTAAATATTAGTAGAAGTATTAGTAGTATATAAATAATAAATCAATGTATATTAAAGAAAATTCTCTCGACTTTGCTTATAAAATTACAAAACCCGTATCTCATACTTTATGTATCTAAAATAGTAACATAATATAAATGATGGTTTTTCTTTCCGCAGAATATATGCGCAAGGGTGCGCCCTATGTGGAGGGTAGCTATAATGATATCGACCCCGGCTTAAACCCCGCTTTACAGGACCATTATCGCATTACTCCGAGTCCAGGTGGTCCTGGAGATCAGTATGGTACGTAGGAATTGCAACAAGTGCGATCGAAAATTTTCCATGGAGATGACCAACAAATTAAATTCTAACATGATCGCGATTAGATTCACGTGATAAAAAACCGTACGTCACGTATAAAATCGTACGAGAAAACATTCCTCGTCGTTGCATTTCGTCATAAGATATCGCATAATTCACTTTGATTATCTCTCACTGATCTGACTGTCTATTCTTTGTTATTTTATGGTAATTCTAGATCGAATCAGCAAAGATGATTCTGGTGAATCAACATCCTTACGGCGGAGTTACATCCACTATTTATTCAACTTGTCTCTCTTTCTCTATTTCTTTATTACATCTCTTAAACGTATTTCGTTAAATATTGAAATACGGATTAATGATATATATATATATATCCTCCCCGAGTCTTCATTAATAAATGTAATATGACTTATATAGATATATATAGATATATAAAGTTATCCATGTTTCATTAAATCCGTGATTAATTTAGCGTTCCTATTTTTCACGATTGTTACGTAAAGTCTGACGGATATCGTGTAAAATCGTTTAATCTATCATATAATACATTATCTTTTAATTCCTACTCATGTGTGACATCGTTTCAATTATGTGTCTCTTTTCAAATTTAAATAAAAGAGAAATTATATAAGGTAATAAAAGGTAATATATTCTCATAATATACATATATCCATATCATTAAAACATAGTTAATAATCATTATAAATAATTAAATAATTATAAAAGATAATATATAAATAAGAATAATAAAATAAAAAAGAGAAAGAGAGACAATTCAAAGTTAATAATTAATAATATTTATGATATATATTTCTTAAAGCAAAGATATATTTCTTACAACTCTATAATCTCTTCACATAATACGAAATGTAAAGATAAGCAGTTATGAATATAACATACATGAATTATGCGTCTCCGAGACCGCAATCGAACGGACGACTCCGATAGAGAGAACGACGTTAAAATCAGATAACGAAGCTATATAATCGATTGCATGACGTGTATTCTATTTTAGACGAAAGCAAAGTGGCCTATGGATACGTGTCACCGTCGCCGTACGGGCCCGTGGGGTACGGGCCCGCCGTGGGGGTCGGACCGGTACCGAGCGACGTGCCCGGTTACGAGGAGGGCCACCCGGGGGTGCCCCTCACGTCAGGCGTGCCACCCGGCATCTTCGAGGACGAGGTGCATCTGCAACGGCTGCAATCGCGTCATCCGGTGGTGCCCGGCATGGCGAGCCCCCTCGACGACGATCAAAAGTCCATGCGCTGGCGGGATCCGAACCTATCCGAGGTGATCGGCTTCCTCAGCAATCCCAACAGTATAATCAAGGCGAACGCGGCCGCCTATCTCCAACACCTGTGCTACATGGACGACCCGAACAAGCAGAAGACGCGCAGCCTGGGCGGGATACCGCCTCTGGTACAGCTGCTGGATCACGACACCCTGGACGTTTACAGAAACGCCTGCGGCGCCCTTAGAAACCTATCGTACGGTCGCCAGAATGACGAGAACAAGCGCGCCATCAAGAACGCCGGTGGCGTACCGGCTCTTATCAATCTCCTGCGAAGAACGTCCGACGCGGATATCAAGGAACTGGTCACGGGGGTACTGTGGAATCTCTCCTCGTGCGAAGTGAGTGATTCTTTTTTTAGTACGAAAAAATTAGAAAAATAAGGAGCATTTCCTGTTCTATTATTATTCGTATCTACAACGTCGATAAACTAAATTTTACTAATTCAGACTTGAAAAAGAGAGAGAGATTATTTAATTCTTTAATTATACAGGGTGGTCCATTTTAAAAGAGCCAGTCAAATATCTCGAAAAATATGGAAGATACGGAAAAACGTTTCAGACAAAAGTTGTTTGGTTCGAAGGGGGACATAAGATGGTGCCATTGATGTATTCTTGGATAGTCATTTGAAAGTCACATGAAGGTCACTTTCAATTTCTTAAATGGAAACCCCCATTTTTCATTGCATATTCTTACAACTTATGTCGAGAGCTTTCCAAAACACTATAATAAAATATATTTTCACTAAGTACTTTTTGAGTTATTTTATATTTTAATCTGACATATTTCGATATAAAAATTAAAATATCTCGTAAAATATTTAGTTTTCGATAATCTTACCGTAACGCTTTTATATACAGAATAATGAGACAAATCAATTAGCATAAAAAAAA